TGTCTGCAGTGTGACAGGGATGAAGCTGGTAAAATGGAACACCAAGGTATGGGTGTTCCTAGAAAACAAAATTTAATGTTCTGATCAACACAAAAACAAAGGGATTATTGGAAACAGAGAGAGTGTGAGTTGAGTCCAAATGGGTCCATAAACTGTGGCCATTTATCAAACAAAAGGACATATTTAGCCCAAGATTACAAGTTGTGAAAGGTAGATCACATCCCTGGAGTAAACAATGTCCTTGAATACTGTAGACACAAGAAAGAGTTCTGTACTGTCTAGGAGCAAAATTGGCAGATTTAATTTTTATCAGAGTAAACTATAACACAAAGTAATACTAATCCCTAAGCAGAGCTTTGTTTTATTTGTACATAATATCATATCAAACCCCACCAATCATATTTGACTACATCTCCTAATACCAATAATTATTGCAAATATGATGTGCAGGTCTGAGAGTATTACATTTTGCCAAACTTTGCTCAAGATGTTTGGAAATGTGGCGAAACTGTCTCGACTGTTTGATATACCTTCTAAAAAATTGATGCTAATTAAGATAAGATTAATCCCATTAATACACCATCATGGCCATGATTTCCTTTGTTTAAACTCTGACAGACTATAAGTGAGTTTGGGAATTAGGATTACATTAACAGTACCTGTTGTGTTAGAAATGTCCATTTTTCATATGCAAGTCTTTCACGGTAAACATCTGGTACGTTATCCCACACTTCATCCAAACTGACTAGTTTACCATCTAAAAAAATTAAGCTTTTAATTAATTAATGTACTTACACCCAGAAGGGATGAATATAAATTTAACAACTTGGCATTTGAAACTAGAAGTAGACCTGGTAGCTAACAAAAGAAAGTATGCAACATTTTGCAGAAAATCTTTCTTTGTGTGCATTTTACCAGCCATACATAAATTCACCAAGAACTGTAAAAACACAAACAGCAAATTTCTGAAAGGAAGACTTAGTATGATCAGATCTCCCCAGTAAACTGTATTTGACATAGTAAATAAATAATTTATTAGTAATTAGTTCATAATATATAGCGCACACATCCATCATTTGCCCGAGGTGCTTTACAAAATATCCCTAAAACCACAATTTTACTCCAAGAAACTTAGAAACTAAAAACTAGCAAAATACCTAAAAAAAACTAGAATCTAAAAAATTAAAAATATGATATTAAAGAGTTACTCTTAATAAATTTAGTAAAAAGGAAGGTCTTGAGTTTTTTCTTAAATAATAAAACTGTACTGGATCATCGTACATGTATTTCCAAGGAAACAGGGTTCCAAATCTTTGGAGCGCATATAGAGAAAGCTCTATTGCCATATGTTTTGGTTTTACAAGTAGGCTGCATTAGCAGGTCTTGAAAACATAACTGGCACTAAAATTTCACACTCTTAAACAGTTTTCATGACCCTGTAGTAACGTATGACATCAAAATAATGTTCAAATGTTATTGTTTATAGTGGTTAATACATTTACTGTAGCTACACCTGGCTAGTTCTAAGGCATCAACTAAATGTAATAGGCTTGAAAATCCCAACTGGTGGGAGACAGACCAGTTAGCTACAGTATTTACAAGCATGACCAAGGCGTTGAACCAGGGTCTTCCAAGAAACAACTCCAGCTTAGTTGTCAGAACAGGACTTGAACCCGCAACCTCTGAATTTCAAGTCTGGTGCCCTAACCACTCTGACACGCTGCCTCGAGCCATGAAAATAAGGACACCTAGTCTAGATATTGCAATACCACTAATTTAAATTAAGTAGATTGAAGCTCCTCTATAAAATACCTTGCCGGCTTGCAGTAAAATATAACACAGGAACATTGTAGCTAAAGCTGTAAATGACCTGGTACTCAAACTTGAGAAACTCTGTATTTTCACTTGAATGCAGATGGCTAGACATTGCACAATCCTAAAAAAGCCACAAAAACACAACATGAAAAACAGAACATCCAACAAGATCACAATTGATGGCAGAACTCACAGGTATCTCCAGGTCAACAGAGAGGCATGCACCTGGGTTGCAAAGAAAATGAACTGATGTGACGTCTGAATTTTAGAAATTGGCCAATTACATACTGCCAAGCTGGACAAATTTTGATGCCTACTCATTCTAAATGCATAACACCATTTGAAATATCGATTCAGTGCTAAGGGGCTGAAAAGTACTCCCATTTGCTCTAATATCTTGGTCAAAGCAAAAAAAAGTTAATAGGAAAACAGAAAGGAACCACAGATTTTGGCCTTGAACAATCATTATTTTACTATTGATTGATTGGTTGAGCAATGAGCCAAGTGGCCCATCATGCTGGTGCTAATCC